TCAAGCGTGATAGTGCGATTCCTTCATACTTGGCTGGAAAACCTTAAGTGGCTATATTTAGAGCCCTCCAGCATTTAAATGCGAACAAATATTTTGTTTCTCGTACCATATCTCGTAACCGTGATACACTCAGTGTTGCACTGCGTCCAAGAAGTGGATGAAAAAAAACACTAGCAACACCAGAAATGATCCAAAAAGTATAGGTAAAAATCGATCGAAATTCGTGTCGCAGTGGTAAAAAAATGGCCCGTGAGCTGAACATATCGCAAAAACGGATGCAACACATATTGAAAAATGAGCTTGGACTAAAGCCATTGAAGTTCCAAAAAGGCAAGAGCTCATCGATGCACAAAAAAAAGTTAGACGGGAAGGAGCCAAGGGGTTGCTTCGCTTGCACGAAAGTGGCTAGTTACCGAATTTGGTTTTCTCAGATGGGAAGTCCTTCCAAATCGAGCAGTTTGTGAACAAACAAAATGATAGGGTTTACTTGCCAAAAAGGTCAGCTAAAAATTTACACCTTCGATTGGCCACCAGAACTCAAGCGCCGCCGACGGTAATGGTGTGAACCATCGTAACGACCGATGGTGACATTCCGGTCTTATTCATCGACCGTGGGATCAAAATAATTGCCGAAATTATCGGGAAAAAGTCTTAAGGGCAGTATTGAAGTCCTGGGTAGACAAAAATTTTGGTCGCAGACCATGGACATTCCAACAGGACTCAGCACCACAAAACTCAGCACGAGTGTACCAAAAATGGTGCAGCGTGTTATGGTTTTTTCTGCATTTCTGAACCAATTATGAAAATTCAAAAACCGTTCGAAAGATATTGATTGGGAATCGTGCTAATTAGTTTTTGGTAAAGATCGGCCGGGCCGTTTTCTTGTAATAGTGTTAAAAAAAATTATTTAAAAATTAAAATTATTTAAAATCAAAAAAATATTTTTTTGACGGTAGATACTATAATCTTCCAGCTCATACTAAAATATTACGGCCCTACGAAGTTTGCAAAAATTGGTATCGTTTTTTTGGCATTTGTCAAAATTAGACCTTTCATCGACGTTTTCTCAAAAACGCCTGAACCGATTTCGGAAATTTAAAAGCCATTTGATGTATTTCGATGAGGACTATCGTTTGTCAGTTTTGTGCGACGATCTGCCAAGTCGTTTTTTTGTAATTTGAAAAAAAAGTGTTAAACTTTTCGTCCACATTTAAGCTCATCCTACCGAACCGATTTAAAAAATCAAAAACTGTTCGAAAGATATTACTTGGGAATGGAACTAATTAGTTTTAGGTGAAAATCTACCGAGCCGTTTTCTTGTAATTAACTGTTGAAAAAAATTTAAACCTATTTTTATGGATTTTTTTTTAGCGATATATATCATGGTCTTATAGATCTTACTGTAATATTACGGCCTTACGACAAGTAGTTTAATTTTAAAAATTCATCAAAGTTTGAGAAAATGAGTAGTTTTTTTGACGTTAGCTAAAATTAAAATTAGACGATTTACTTGGTATAACAATATAGTACTTGGTCTTAATAAACCTACTAAACCATTAAAATCCTACGGAAACTGGTTCAAGTATAATAATTGTTGATTTTTGAAATGTTGCTATTTGAAAATACTCCGAGTTAACGTGTTCGTTCGTTTTCAATTATGTGTAATAAATCCACTCATAAATTAATTTATTTTTTATTGATTAAGTCCATTATTTACACATATCGGGAAGTTCATGTAACTTGCCTCAAGGCTAAATACCAATACCAACTAGTTTTTTACAGTTTGTTGGCAACGCTGTTACATCGAATGATGAAACAGCGAGCGCGAGTCGCGCTTATTATGTTGGACACCTCAAAGTCTTGAACCCAAGAAAAAATTTCATTTCGAATGCCCATCTTTTTAACCCAAGTTTTTTTGGTAAGAAAATATTTTATAATTCTGTTTCTAGAGACTAATGAATATACAGTCAAAAAAACATTTATTATGGAAGAGCGGGGATTGAAAGTCCACGGGTTACAAGGTCCACTACCAATATCTCAAAAATAAGTGAAGTACAAACAGTTCAAACATATTTGTTCATATTATAAGAAAAATACTATTTTTTATGTATTTCATTTTGAATACAAATGTCAAATTGTATGCCGAAAGTCAGACAATCAAATCAAAATATTGAAATATCAAAACATTAAACCAAAGTCAAAGGAAAAGCTTAAATTAATTAGCACCTCCCGTACGACGCGCGTTCATATTACGACCGTCCACTAAATGCGACGCTCGGGGCTGCATGAAGCATTCTGCGGCCGTCGAGTATGCCGTCCGCGTACCGAAGTGGTTAATTAAATTTTAATTGCAGCATATAAAATTTTAACTATTTTAATAATTCTCAAATAAATCTCATAATAATTTTGTTTTGAAACTGCGCTCTCATAATAATAATTTGATTTTGAAACTGCGCTACATTCTTCATTCGTTGTAGTTTAGAGGAAGAAATTGTCAAACCTTTTAAATGATATTCAATCATTTAAAACATATTAGCAATAGATTTTGTACAACCACAACTAAAGCAAATGTAGAAATATACATTCCACGCTACAAAAATACTTTAATAATTTTTTCTGCTGCTCATATTTTATTCTATACCAAATTATGCCAAAAAAACAAAACATGCTTCATAATTTTCTCAATATATTCATTCATTCGGGTCTATAATCCATACTATCGAATACTAGTTGTGTGCGATTTTGCGATGTAATCAGGGGCGTAGCTACCGTCGTACCAAAGATACTGGGCTCACAGGCCATGAGGAGGAGGGTCAACGAGCGTAAGCAAAAATTGAGAAAAACTGTATAGCCAGCAACGATTTTTTAAAAAATTTACTAATCCCGCCATAGTTGGCGTTTCCTTTTGTAATCAATATGTAATGAATTTTATTTTAGTTAATAATAAAAAAATACTTTAATAATAAAAACGCCATTAAAAAAAAACAGTTTTAAATTATAACTAAGCCAAACGCTTTAAGGGGGTTGTTCTTTTTTATTTATTTTTTTTCGATTTTGAGATTTTTTGATATTATGAAAGCTAAAAACCTTAAAATTATTTAAAAAAAAAAAATCATCGCAATATCTATTTTTTGATGAAGTTATATATATATATATATATATATATATATATATATATTGAATGGTAGAGTCTTGGATTTGTGTATATTTTGTAGAGTTTCGAACAAGAATCCAAAAATAATACAAAATAAAAAACAAGAAAAGTTTTTAGAATAGAATAGAATAGAATAGAAAAATAAAAATAATAAAAAAAAAAAAAAAAAAAAAAAAAAAGAAAAAGAAAAATCTATTTTCTTTTCCTAAACATATTGTTTGCTAAAATCTCATCAAGATCATGTTTCTTGACAGATGTCCTGAAGATGGAACGTACCTAGTTCCGAAACGTCGACAATAAACAAATAATTAAATAAAGAAATTGTTTTTTTAAAAACTTTTCTTGTTTTTTATTTTGTATTATTTTTGGATTCTTGTTCGAAACTCTACAAAATATATATATATATATATATATATGATCCTCTGAAACCGTTTTTTTCATCGCTCCGCGAGCTATTGTATGCCAGCTGCTCTCTTTTTCATTATAATACGTCATGCACATGACCTTTTTAATGTGTCAGCACCTTTGAACACCATGGTGTATTAGTACATTAAATTAAATGGTGTATTTAATACATTATATTAAAAACTTTAAATATGTTTTTCTCAAATTGACTTTTTTCAATGCGGTGCCACAAATTAAAAAAAACTACAAGTCGGATCGACTTGCATTTTTTTTTTAATTTGTTCACCACTGCAATACCTAGTCCCCCTACCTCAAACAACTTGATAACATTACGCAAAAAAATTTTGCGAAGCTTCTCGTCCCAAAAAGTTAAGGCCCTTTTTGACACTTTTTTTTAAAAATAGCTGCCATTTTTTTCCTTCTTGCTTTTTTTCTCTTATTTTGGTAGGGGGACTGGACTCAAACTTCTTCTTCAACGTAGTTTCGTTTTTTTTTTTGTTTCAGGCGATGCGCAACGGATTTATCTGTGGCACCGCAAAAGTGATCGATTTTGCAATGCCCACTTTGGCGCCCCCTGGTTAACAAATGACGGCGACGAAAAAATATATAAAATTTCTTAATATTCTATGGTTTTGTAATTTGTAATATTCTATAATTTTGGTTTGTAATACCTTGCATTTTTTGTGACAAAAAAAAGAACAACCCCCTTAAGGAAATTTATATTCTATTTATATATCGTGGAAGTTTCGCAGCCGAATTATTGTTAATAACATTCAATGGTCTTGCATCCTGTTTTACCGATGTAATCCCAGTTGCTGCCGATTTTTTTTTCAAAATTAAAACTAATTAAAAATTATCTGAGAACTTCAAGACACAAACGTCTATCAGACGTCTATTAATATTGTCCCTACAGACAAAAAACAAAAACCCTAAAGATCATAAATCAGTTTTACGAAAAAAGGGGTGAATATAAATATTCTTTTAACTTTATGCATTTTTATATATTTTCAAGAATCTTCACCCTTCTTAAAAGAGCCTTAAACAAACTTTGATACGGGACACCGCCAAAGCACACTACGCCCCTGAATATTTTATTCATTGTAATCATTTTTAAAGCAAAATCTGCACTTTACTACTTCGCTTTGCTATATATTATGCTATTATAGCGTCACTGTGATAGTTTAGAAATGAATGTCAGCTAAGGAGGTATTTTTGTTACAAATAAACATAAAATTGCACGCGCTGAAACGTACACACGCTCGTGCAAACGCACTCGCACGCACCGGCAAACGCACGCATACGCAAGCATTCATACATACACAATCTAAGATATGAAATGATATCAGCACTTCAGCAAAGGCAATTCTACTATAATGAAATTGATAAATTTTACTAAATAGACTTGTCTATATAAATCGATTACATGATTTTAAATACTTACTCAAACGTCGCATGAAGTGTTCGGCGAAAGAAGGTTGAATCTGCTTCGAATCACCATCATGAGTTTGAAGATTTTTAGCATCTGATTTATACTTCATATTAGGAACAGAAAGAAACCTATCATCTCTTTTGATATCGAATCCACAATGCTTTCTTCCTTCGGTACTCAATGGTAAATTATCTGGTCGCAAAGCTGTTTTCCTAAGCCCACTTGATGCATCATTTGATTCTGTTGCTGATCGGACAACGTCACCTTCCTCATCCGTGTCGGACAAAATTGTTCGTCCAGTTGTAGTTTCTTCATCTTCTTCTGGACTACTATTATAGTAAAAAATAGATCCTCGTTTTTGCGAAGTTTGTTGTGAAGCCGAAAATGTGTTTTTAATTTTAACGTCTACCCGTGAAAGTTGTCGTTTAAGATTAAATGCCTTCCATGCGACAGAACGCCTACGACCTTGAATTGGTTCCGGTGTACCAGGTGCAAAGTCTCCCGTTTCTTCTTGATTAGGAGGCGTTGCCATAAGACTTACAAGGGCTTCTTCGGCATATTCTGTTCCTGACTGATTCTTTGAAGTTGAGATCATTGTTTGAGAAGATCGACAGGAAAAAGGATTGGGCAATGGATTTATAATATTGATCTGTAGAATTTTCTACAAAAACATGTGAAAAGCGTTCTCGTTTTCAAATAGTTATGTGCATGCAGTTTTAAAAATGTTAAATTAATACAATGTCTTATATTAAAAATAAATATGATGACCATGACAAAACAACGAAATTACATTTGTATCATAATTTAACTCGAGATGAAGGCGTTGAAAATACCACGAATAATATTTATACAGCAATGTTTATTTTAAGTTGTGCATCAAATTTGCACGTATTTATAAATACACAAAACAAATTTTGCAAGCAAAAAGGAGAATTAAGCGTATAACTGACCTGATCAATACTTGGACTGCGAGCCTGAGGAATATCTTGTGAAGAGTTGGGTGCATCCAGTTTCTTCGGACTACGGGGAGCTCGTGAATACAGTTCTTGTGAGCCATATATTGCAGGTACAGATATATGCATTAAACACAATTTATGGACTATGTCAATAAGCACAAGAGCAGATTCAGTTCCATAAACCATTCTATGAAAAAAATGAAGATCTTTAATTTTTAAAACTGAATTAAAAAAAACTTACTGTTGTAATGTTATGTTAAATATCTATATAACAATATTTTTCTTATCGCAAAATAGTTTAAGTTTTCCTTATTTTTATTTCTTCTGTTTTTTTCAAAACGTTATAATTCATAACGTAAATTTTGTTTTCTAACGACAGTACGGATTTCAAAAATTTTAAAATCAATTAATAAAACATAATAGGTTGCGATGGTTAGCTCTGCGCAATAATGAGTCCAAAAATTTCCGTGCAATTAACAGTAAAATGAAATTTATTCGTCGCCATTTTAATAAAGTCTTAAGAAAATTCTGATTATTTTTTGGCAAGAATTAGCTAGGCCGTTTTTTCGTAATTGAATAAAAATATTTAAAACGCAATTGTTGCTAATATTTAACCCGCCATGAGATAAACGCCAAAGTCGCTTATTCATAATTAGCGTTTAATTTAAAATATATGTTTTGACAAATGTCTTTGCAAAAAGTATATATATATATATATATATATATATATATATATATATATATATGTATAAAATGAGTGTGTTGAGTCAAGCAATATCACCAAGTAAAACAAAACTAAAGCAATTAAGAAATCAGCTTCATTTTCTTTTTCTTTTTTCTTCATCCAGATCGTCATCCAGTGGAAAACTAAAAAGTTTTTTTTATAATTAATTTAGAAAATAATAATGTTGAAAGAGTGTTATCTGAGGTAAACATTATTAACTAAATTAAAATCTAAATTTGATCCAAAAATTTTAAGTAACAACTTAATATACAAATTAAATCGTCTAAATTGTCAAGGATTTTACATTGTCGAAACTAGCCAAAAGAAACTCTCAACACAGAAACACTTCAAAAATGAGAATCAGAATAACACAATGTTCACAGAACACATAAATAACCTTCAGCATAACATTGATTTCCCAAACCCGAGTATACTACATTTTGAAACCAATATATTTAAAAAAAGATTTATTGAAGGTTGTCTAATATGGTTAAACAATAAAGCAATCAACAAGAGATTTGACAGCTATTCGCTCTGTAATGATTACAAGATATTCTTCGATTAATTCTCAAACAACATTATTACTGAATGAAACGTGTCCGTTTTTTATTACTTTCCAAAACCATATGTTTTTATCAGTTTGCACATTTTTCAAAAAACATTTATTAACACAATTCATTCAGTGCTTAGACTTCAACAACTATGTGCACATATTTAGTGTTTTGTCTCTAATTCATAATTATTTTTAAATGTTTGAACTACTGATAGCTTTCTGTTAAAATTGTTAATTTGTGTAGTGTAGCGTAAATTATTTTTGTATGTAAGTACCTATCTTTAAGTCTAATATGTTTGTATCCATTTTCTTTTCTAAGTTAATTATAAAAAAAACTTTCTATTGGTATATATGTATATAATCGGAGACAAAGATAAGGATTAATAAATCTGATTTCGTAATTGCTTTATTTGTTTGATATTTCCCAACTCAACGCACCTGTTTTAATTTCAACACCAAATTTACAATTTATATGTATGTGTATATATATATATATATATATATATATGTATATATACATATATACATATAAATATAAACCTATCCCTCATTTTACACGTTTGCACAGTTTTTGAAAATATTTTTTTTTTAACAAAATTTATTAAATTTGCAATTACACGAAATTATGAACACTAAACTATAATTGGCTTATATCTACAATAAGATTTTTATTGTTTCACTGTCAAAATACAACACTACAAAATGTATGTTACAATTACTAATTCTTAAAAGTCTATGTCTATGATAGAAATATGTAGATAACATGGAAACGCCCCGTTTTATTATCAAAACTAAATTTTATTTTATTAATTTTAATGATTTATTAAACGTGTTTGATATTGAATATATTAATATTTATTTTTCGTTCAATGTGTTTATTATTCATAATATAAAAAACTGACAAAAAGTGTTTTTTTAGTGAATTTTCATTTAGCATGACTTTCTATATAAAAGTGAATTTTTTGAGTTACACGGTTTATTTAGAACCTATCATTCGTATAAAATAGGGAATAGAAGTTTATATATTCAAATATATATGTCATTCATTCAATTAATGACATTATTATCAAGTTATACGTACAGGCCATAACTAGAATTAATGGTCAACGCAGATATCGTGGTTTGTGCATTCTGGCAAACAAGAATAGACTGAAACCCAGGTGCTTTCCTCTGGGAGCCCGTTTTCACTTGCAAAGTTTCCTGCATAACAAGATTTACTATGACAGATTTATGAAATTATCAAATAAACAATAATCCTCATCTGACACTGACTTTTTTTTCGCCTTCTGTTGTTGTATTACTACGGCCAACAGATTCACGTTCTGGAGAATTTTCCGTAGCTTCTGTAGAAAAGTCCGCCGTGTTCGATATGTCCAAAACCTAGCAATTATTTCATTAGATAAGTTAATATATTATGTTCACACATATATATAGTTACATATATAAGATTATATATATATATATATATATATATATATATATATATATATATATAAAATAAATTGAAAACTTTTTTTAACAGCCCATTTGTCAAAATAAAAAAATAAGTTAGGAAACAATAATTTTCTTTATTGGTATACGTTTCGACATTTGATGTTTGTCAGCATTCAGCAATCACAAGGATAAAAGCATGAAACCTATACATCTTAATTTTTTTTTTTGAAGAAACGAAAATTTAACACAACAACAAAATTATTAGAAAGAGGAGAATTCTATTATTTAAATTCATCATGGAGCAAAAATCCGTGTATAGGACGTGTTGGAAGTGTTAACACATGTTATTTTAAATATTAATATTTTAAATTTTAAATTGTAATACACTGATGATGAGACAAACATAGTCTCGAAACGTTTGTAAAATTGATATTATTCAATAAATTAGTGCAAAAAGAGTGCTGCGTTTTCATATTTCTAATTTAATATTTAACCAATCAGAATATATTTGTTATATATATATATATATATATATATATATATATATATATATATATATATATATACACCTAAGTCTGTTTTTACACGGCAGATTGGTTCCAGAAGAAGCCGTGTAAAAAAAAACGTGTAAAAAAAGACATTGATCTTATACAAAAATGGGTGATTTGTTCCTAATCTCTATAACCTATTAAAATTAGTGAAAAACAAGAATTTTTAAGAACAAGAATTCATGTTTATTTTATTAAATCAAATATATAATGCTTATTTTCACAAGCATAGTAATTAATGATAAACAAGATATGCACTCTAATCTTAAAAGTAATATAAATTAAATGTATGACAAGTTCAGGAACTAAAAAACGTAAAAATTGTTTGTACGCGCTAAAGAGGAATTCACTTAAATCTGACCAGTAAATTTTATTGTATGCACGTAAAGGGAATTTCCCTAAATTAGTGCTATTCGCATTTGCTTTGACCAGTAAAAATTGTTTGTACGCGCTAAAGGGGAATTCTCTTAAATATTTAAGCTAGTGTTCGTAAACTATCAGTTTCAGACTTTTTCCTTTCATAAATACTTTTTTGTGATATGAACATACTTCGCAAAAATTAAATTTGACAGAAAAAATTTAAGTACATAAAATTTCAAATTGTGCTAAATGGAATAAAATCGTGTAAAAAAATTAAAAATATTCAATTTTCAAACCGTGTTATATCAAAACCGTGTACAAAAAGACCGTGTAAAAACAGACTTAGGTGTATATATATATATATATATATATATATATATATATATATATATATGTATATATATATATTTATATGTAAGAATAGCTCAGGAAAGCTAATTTGAATGGCAAGTCTGAATTATATTGTACATATATTATTTTTATATGGTGCCGAAAAACCCAAGTCAACTGCTATAATCATAAATTTATTTTATTGTCACACATACTCTTTTGCACTCCGTAGTCGCCGTTACATACAGCGAGTGCAAAGTGACAAGTGTTTGTTAATACTTGCTAAACTAATCAGCAATACTTTTGTTACTAAGATCATATAAATTTATGAACTCAACAAAAAATCATTAAAATAATTTTCAATTTTCGTGCAAAAGAAATTTGAATTAGAGTTGATATTAATTGTATAAAATAAAAACACATGTACCGTTGTTACACTAGTAGATTCGTTTTTCTTAAATTTGAATAAAATAACATGTCCTCCTGCAGAAGCAACACACAATTTTCGAGATTCAGGACAAAGAGAAATTAGTTGAATTGCAAGAGGGTCTACGCCAATAGAATCTTCACGTGCTGTTTTTGCACGTTCAAATACCTGAAAAGAAAGTAATATAATAATATGATTTGCAATCACACACCAATTATATTACAACAAAATATAATAATTGTAAATATAATAAATATTATAGTTTATACACTTTATAACGGTGCCACTCTGGTATTTAAACGACTTATCCACCAATTTATAGGTCCATTTGAATTTCAATCTCTTGACTTATCTTTTACAAAACTCACTTTGTGTAGTAATAGTAACTATAAAGGATATCAAAACAAATCGGTTTCATTCACTGCGGTCCAGATTGTGTAATTTATAGCAACTAATGTTGAATAAATAATTGTTAATTTCTGTAAAGTAAAATTAGTTTTCCGTTTAGTATTTTTGGGTAGCGCCGTTGTTTAGACTAATTTTTAATTAGCAACTTCAAAAGCCTGTATATTTTTCTTGTACAATCCAAATCTCATAATACACATTTAATTTGATATGAAAGTTAAACGTAAATGATGTTCAGAAAGTTAAAAAAAAAAAAAATAAAACAACATACCTTGGAAGTTTTAAGTTTATAAAGTACTTGTAATGTGCCTGCACTGGCATCCCAAAATTTCAAACTGCCATCGGCATGCCTGAAATTAGAATAAGAGTATTCGTCGCACATTCTTTATTTCAGAAATTGTAAAATAAATAAAAGTTTGAACTATAGTTATAACAAAATTGAAGAAAAGTTACCCTGTTATAATAATTTCGCTGTAGCTGCATGACGCTGGCGCCCATTCGCCACCGTTGCAAGGCCAATCGCGATCACTGAGTTCAGATCTTGCCTGAGCCGCATTTCCAGAAGCAGCACGACCTACGCATTGTTATTAATATAATACAGACTCAAAGAATATAAAGTATATATTATATATCTATTATGCATCATTTATCTTTCATTGCATCTAATATATGTTAGTATGCCGGGTAAACTCTCAAGCAGTCTTATCCTGTGCACCATGCACCATGATGCACCATGACGCTTATTTATCTATGCTGTGCACAATTTCTATCCGACCCGTGAATTTACTTCGTATATGCAATAATTCCAACCTAACCTCCGATCTATTTTCGACCAGCTGTATATATATATATATATATATATATATATATATATATATATATATAATCATTAAATCGATTAACCCCTTAACTTACGATTTAAACGGGCCAAAGTTGTTCAAGCTGGCGCAGCGTTCATGACTATTTTCCTTTTACTTGCGACTACCGTACCGGGCCATGCCCGTAATGCGTAATATTTGCTTCTGGCGCGATTATCGTACGCGGGCTATGCCCGTAATATTTACGTTTAGCCTAGCCATCGAACGCGGGATCTGCTCGTCATTATAAGTTAAGGGGCTAAATTACAAGTCGAAAAAATCTATAAAATAGTGTTGAAAAACATCATATCATCATTGTATCATAGCCAGATAAGCCCAAAAATTTTCACCCCATATATGTAGCACTATTTTACCTGCGCTGTAAAATGCAGGTACTAAATCAGAAGGACAATCAGCCAGGTAACAGCATACAGTGACAGCTGCTTCATGTAGATTGAGCGGATGTGGAATTTCAAATGCAGGAAAGCCAGGCTTTAACAAGTCGATTAACACTAAGTCATTCTGCAGCAACACAATCATTGCTTGCGGATCTTGCATATCTTGAATGCAAAAATAAATCATGAAATTGTCTTACATACAACATAGAAAAGTAACAAAAATGAACTTGAATTATAATAATATAAATAGTTTAGTGTATAAAGGAAACATAGAACTTAAAATATTGAATAATATTTGAATGTAAAATTATATATTATGTTATGTAATATAAGCGTGCAGTTTGTAATCTAATTAAAGCATAAGGAAATGGTAGAGAACTCCTTTGGGCACGAGTGATATATTACCACTATTATATGGCGTGTCACAGATCGTGATGAAATCAATAACAGGACTCTCCATCTCAAGTAATGTCAGTCCGCGACCCTGTTGCACGGACAAGCTAGAAGTACGTCTATCTGTTGCCAAACCACCGCAAAAAATCACCCACGATTCTCTGAAAGTAAAATCCCATATCAAATTTTCAAGCTTTATACGTTAAAAATAATAGAAATAGTAAATAAATCCTTTATTCTTAATTATAATTTAGAATAATGTGCTTTAGTGTATATAATAATAGATTGACAAATCTATAATAATATTAACATTTACATTATATCAGAAACTAACCCGGTTTTAGAAATCCTCCAATCTACTTTTTGGATAGCTCGACAATTGTCTATTTTCCCATCTTTATTTGGTTTGGCTGTGAGTAAAAAAAAAAATTACTCCAAAAATAGACTATTTTTTTAAAAATCAAATATCATTGCCAAAACTACACAGCGAAACTAATAAATCATTAGCTTGATTTGAGAGAACTCCCTGCAACCTTTTGATGGATAAATAATATTGCTTTCAATAAATTGTGTTGACGAAGATAACTAGATAAAAAATAAATATAAAAGTAACTCCCTGTAAGTAAGTAAGAAATTAAAGAATATAAAAGAAATGGTAAGAAATATATCGATAATCCCGCGCGGAAAATATTGATGAAATTTAAAAATTATATATTCGCGAAAATTTTGATCATTTACAAATTTTCGAACAATTATTTAGTTTACCAATGTGCGAGGATAGTTTAAAAGATAGTGATGTGAGTTTTAATGTGGATTCTCGCCTATCAATTAATTTGCATATTATAAAAAATATAAACATTATGAAATTAATATATTAAAATATGATAATGAAATTTTGTTATAACAACTAAGCAGTGTGTAAACACAAATTAAAATGTAATCTCGAACTTGTACCTACCTTACTAGCATCCAACGGATTGTCACGCAGTCCTATAACAGCCCCTGGATGTGTCTTCCGTTGTCTGAAACAGACATCCTGAATACTTATCAAAATAAACTAACAAACAATAAATCCGTTAAACTAATCGTTAATAAAAGAATAAAATGTGCATTATATTTTGAACTTTTTTTATTCTTACCCGATAAAAAAAGTTATATGGCAAAACTTCTCTAGAATAAAATCTTAAATAATTATAAGGGCAAAAAAACTACTATCAACATAGGCTCCGTAAACTTGTGTCTCGGTTTCATACCTTTAAACTGTAGGCTATCTCGAAGAGTCTATAAATATATTTCTAAAGCTTGGTGTATACAAAAGCTGTTCTGCAGTATATAAAATATATTTATTTATTTATTTATATTTATATAAATAATATAATAATATAAATATATAAAATTAAACTGCCAGCTTTCTAATAGTTTTTAAGCCCAGTTATTGAAAAAGTTAATGAAAGTTACAAAATAATAGTACTTACATTTCTATTGCCTTGTTCCAATTGATAACATATCCCGATAATTGAAAAGTTTCAATATGAACAACGTGCACATTACCCTTCTCCGTTCCAACATATAGCCATTTGCTTTGTAAGGGTAGATGCAGACAGGTTACTCTATTAATGGAAATATTAAAATTAAATTTCTGATGAATTAAATTTGAAATGCTATTCAAAATTATTAAAGAACATTATTACAAGTAAAGGTAATACCCTTTTTACTTAAAATTAGTAAATATACAAAGAAAACATATGAATATATAATATAATATATATGTATAATTATAGAATATAGTATTATTTAATAGTTATGATATATAATTTTCTTACCGTTCACGATTAAACTTAAGACTATGTACGATTTGCGGTTGTTTTTGACGGTAGTTCCATAGATGTAGTGTATCATCAGCTGTAGCTGTTATGAGTCCACCTTCATTTACTAATAATATAAATATATAAAATTAAACTGCCAGCTTTCTAATAGTTTTTAAGCCCAGTTATTGAAAAAGTTAATGAAAGTTACAAAATAATAGTACTTACATTTCTATTGCCTTGTTCCAATTGATAACATATCCCGATAATTGAAAAGTTTCAATATGAACAACGTGCACATTACCCTTCTCCGTTCCAACATATAGCCATTTGCTTTGTAAGGGTAGATGCAGACAGGTTACTCTATTAATGGAAATATTAAAATTAAATTTCTGATGAATTAAATTTGAAATGCTATTCAAAATTATTAAAGAACATTATTACAAGTAAAGGTAATACCCTTTTTACTTAAAATTAGTAAATATACAAAGAAAACATATGAATATATAATATAATATATATGTATAATTATAGAATATAGTATTATTTAATAGTTATGATATATAATTTTCTTACCGTTCACGATTAAACTTAAGACTATGTACGATTTGCGGTTGTTTTTGACGGTAGTTCCATAGATGTAGTGTATCATCAGCTGTAGCTGTTATGAGTCCACCTTCATTTACTAAAAATACCACATGCAACACAGAACTACAAGAATCTCCATGCATCAAATGGCAGTCGACACCAGGACGTCCCAGTCTAATAAAATTGAATTAAGGAAAATTGCTTGTATGGTTAGCGTAATCACATTGAATATATATGAGTTGAACGATCCGTAAAATTTCGTGAAATTAGTATAATATTGCAAAGGATACATTCTAAGTGATCCACTTTTATCCCCAATAGCAAGCAATCGCTGAACCGGATCATATGCAAGGGCAGTTGGAGCAAACGGAAATCCATGTCGAAATGTCTGAAATTAAACGATGATAAATATATAACAATTCACTAAATTAGTGTAGCATTGGTGTGAACAATCAGTTAATAGATCGATAAACACTTAAATTCTACTTAAAATTAAATTTTTAACGTTTTCCATCCAGTAGCAAAACATTTTTCACACTTGATACGTTTTCCATTAACTAAAAAAATATTTAACATTTTTCTTTGATCGACACTATTTTTTTTCAATCTAAATCAAAATATCAGCAGTTATCTTTTTTAACTTCCCCTAGGGTAAGTTATTGTAATCGTCCGAAAATCGAAATTGAAACTTTTTACATTTCTTCACGCATTGACTGAACTGAACTGAATATTTTGGCATACGTCAGAAAAAATGGAAAAAATGGTGTGTGTGTGTATGTATACATGGATACAATTTTTCGTCCATGTTTTCGGGCGAATGGATCAACTGATTTGAATGGTTCGAAAAACATTCGATTTCAATTGATAGGTATATGTGCTGATTATGTGCATGACTAAGCATCCGATTTGAATGATTCAAAAACTTTCTGCTTGTTTTGACAAAATAATTGCTTTTGAAAAAAAATATTTCAAATTTTTTTGACCAGTGCGACCACAGTTTGGAACATATTTTGAAGCGTTCACGATTTTTTTCAATTTTCATTAATACTTGTCTTGTATATTAGGAGTTTATTTTCTAATGAGACTTGAGATTTCCCGCTCATTAACGATTTAAATTGTCTATGTGTTAGTTCGAGCTGCTGGCGCTTCTTAAGTATATGTTCATGCCAGGTTAGTCTCCTATCCAAATGTATTCCCAGATATTTAACTGCATTGGATACAGAAATCAATTTACCATTCAATCTAACAAGAGGGCATGAACCTTGTTGTAGGGTAAAAGTAACATGAACTGATTTAGAGTTGTTTACTTTTATTTTCCATAATTTCATCCACTTTTCTATTTCATCTACGTGTTTTTATAGAATTTCTGAGGCAAGCAATTGGTTGTCATGTTGAGCTAGAATTCCCGTATCATCTGCAAAGGTTGCAATCATGGTTTCTGCATTTGTATGTATATCGGCAGTATATATAATGTAAAGCGGGCCAAGAACACTACCTTGGGAAACTACGGAAGAAATATTTTTAACAATAGATAAAGCATCACTGAAACTGATAAAGAACCTTCTATCACACAAATATGATTTTAGGAGGAGATAATAGTTGTATGGTAAATATTTCTTTGATTTGTACAGCAGACCGTTATGCCAAACTTTATCAAAAGCCTGACTGATATCAAGAAAAAGAGCTGAACAATATTTTTTAAAGTGGAAGGATTTATAAATGGAATCAACGACTCTATGTATAACTACTATATTGCATTAATATTTATATATATAGCTTTTATTGTTTATAATATATAGAGACATACTTTATATAATTAGAGACCTCGACGTAATGCTTAAACCTATAAAAAGCATCCAACGTCATTTGAAATTATTTTTATAAAATTTTCTCTATATAACTTCCCGTAGGTAATCGCAAAGAAATCGAAAATAAATTTTTTTATATATCTTTCCGTTTCAAAGGTTTCTGAACATTTCTGCATACCTTAGAAAAAATGGATGTGTGTGTGTGTGAATATGTGTGTGAATGTGTGTGAATGTGTATGTATGTGTGTGTATGAAAGAGCGCCTGGCTCTTTCGACAATACGGGGACTCAGATTTCTTCCTGACCCAGCTGTTAACAGGACATGGACAGTTTAAAACGCATGTTTTTAAGATGGGCTTGCATAGAACGCCAACGTGCAAATACTGTCCAGACAAAATCGACGACGCTGAACACACGATCTTTGACTATCAAAACAACATCGAGGACATTATAGGCACCAGGCATACTCCCTCATGCCTTGTTGACCCACACGATAAAACAAGAAGAAAACTGGTCAGCTGTAGCAGCTTATGCTCGCACCTTTCAAAGGATAAAATCGGAGAAAGGGACCAGTAGTAGGGCACAGCACGGACTGGATTCATATCCAATCCTCTCTGTACCATCAGCGGGGAGAGGAGTGCTTTTCTAGTCGGTAAAAATCTTCACACTACCGTCCATTGTTATCTGCTGTAGAATGGACAGCAGAGTATCAACGATGGCAGTATCTTATAAACTTTTTTTTCGCACCTCTATAAAAAAAGTGTGTGTGCGGATACAAATTTTCGTCGACAAATTCGGAAACACGAATCAACCGATTTGAATAATTCAAAAAACATTCGATTCGTATAGACAAGGAGACGCGCTGATTAGTTTTTGGCAAAGGCAGATGTGGCCGTTTCGAAGATACGAGGCAAAAAGTGCCCAAAAACTTAAATCAGTTTTTTAGAGAACGGAGCGTCCGATTTGAATAATTCAAAAACATTTTATGTGTATTGATTAGAAGAATAACTGTTTAATTTTCTGGGAAGGCAGGGCCAGCGGTTATGAACGAATTTGCATGATTGGAAAAACATTCTGTTCGTACTCGATCGCGAGTCATTCTTGGAAAAGACACGTTTCGTAATTTTGAAAATCTTCAAAAAATTCAAATTTTCGAAATTTTTCATTTTCAAAAAAAATTTCAAAAATTATCAAAAAATATATCAGAAAGAAATCGATTTCTTACAAAAGTTTGAGAATATTTCGAAATTTTTTAAAAAAATTGAATCAAAAAAAAATCTTTTAAAAAATTTCAAAATTATCAAAAAGATCAAATTTAAAAACAATTGAACATATTTCTTGTAAACGTTTACATAAGTTGTTTGTAGAATACGCTCGTCGCTATGCTTTAATAAGCACTTATTTTACAGTATGTGTTCATAATAATATATTTGAAATTATTTAAAACAATTATTAATTATTTTCATTCCTGGAATGTTTAATTACGGTACGGGAAGTACTAGCAATTTACCTTAAGGCACGATGCCATGCATCACTAGTATACAAATATGTGGAGCACATTCTTTGGGCGCAATTTCATAAAAAAATCGATATCGGATAAATAGGGGTTCACGGCAAAGCGCAAGGTGCTTTGCCGTGGCACAAAAAAGTTTGGGAACAAATGGTTGAGATATAACGCCATCTTAAGTTTAATAAAATCGCAACAAAACATTCTTTAAGAGTTACAAAGAAACAGCCCAGCCGATCTCTGCCAAAAACTAATCAGCACGATTCCCAAATGATCTTTTTGAGCAGTTTTCAAATGTTCAAAATCTTTTGAACACTTTCCACTCGGGAGTCGGATTGCTAGTCGGTACGCTGCGCTCGGAATATTATAGTGCTATACATATCTCTCAACTCGGAATTTTTTTTGTATCAAATTTTTTCAAAATGTGGTAATATTGCTTTCAAATACAGTTATTATGATAATAAAATAGAGATTATTTAAATTAAATTCATAATATTCAAAACGCAAAATCGTGATAAGAAATATTTAGAATTTCATCATTCTTCTATTATATATATATATGTATGTTCATAGTTGCAACGAACGCATTTGCGTACTATATTCTTTTCACAATAGATTATCCCTTTGAACCTGAATAAATTGCTTATCGTGAAAAATGGAGAAATAATCAATTGTTAATTGTACCAACTGACACGAATAAAAATTTCCATAATTATTTAAAATATATATATATATATATATATATATAACATCTCTAGCAAAATTTATATCTCAAATAATTATGGGGCTCATAAGCTAATAAATTAATTTTGTTATACATTTATTTATAAAATTAATAAATTAATCAATAAATGAATGTAATGGTGAATTAATTTCCAAAGAATGAAAAAAATAATAATATTGTAAGTTTAGTTTGCGACGACACGATTTGCCGCCAGAGCGGCGGCATCCGAGCAGAACGGTAAAACATATCATGCCGCCGGAGCGGCGACATCCGAGCACAACGGTAAAATGACTATGCCGCCGGAGCGGCGGCATCCGAGTCGAAAGGGTTAATATTTTTGCGTAAACATGAATATTTTTTTTTGCACTTTTATGCTAATTCTAAAGAAACGGCTCGGCCACTCGTTCCAAAAAACTAACTAAACTAACGCTATTTTTATAGAGTTTCGGCTCACATACACACACATACTTTTTCTAATTGATAAACACATCTATAAATGTGTTAATGCTCTCTATGCCGTTCTTGCTGATCGTGAGTTGCAACATTGCTTCAGCCGTTTTTAGTGTAATTCGAGGCGCTAATGCAAAAAAAACTATTAATACATTTATAATTCTAAGTAATCCCCTTTCTAAGCCACTAATTTCCTTTATCGTTCTAGCACCATATGAATCCTGCGTAGAAAAAACTGGTCATCTTAAGCGATCATCGAATAGAGCCAACTTTTCACTTCTCCGTAAGACAGAAAGTGCTCTGGCCAGCCAGACCGCGTGCTATTGATCGAAACGAACTGTAGTGCGCGGAGACCATGCATGGAGAATACGGCAGGTAGGAATAGGACTACTAATTTTCATGCTGGAAAATCAGTTTATGATGTGTCTAGTTGTATTGCGGCCGTTTGACTTTCAATGCTCGGCTCAAACGCGTTAATTGCGCGCGATAACGATCGCTTGTTATTGTTTCGGTCGGTTTTTAACTCACAATACACTACGCCGAAGCAATTGAAAACAGCATTTCGCAAAATAACCCAAACAAAAAATGAAACAAGTTTATGGAATTGTCCAATAGGAAGAAAACGTACCATACCATAATTGGAAATCATTTAAGATCATACTATTTTCAGAAAGCTCGTAAAGCATAACCAAGGGCTAGGAATTTTCGTGCCATAATCACCAAATTAGTAGAATTTGAATCATTTTTACAGAGTTACCATATATCACCTGTGATAAGAGTAATAATAGCCTTATTTATTATGATAACAGCCTGTTATGACACGTACAATATTAAAAAGTAACATACAGTAAAAAATTTTAAATTACCACGTGGAACCATAAATATCATCCAAGTCAGCAA